GAGTGTTCTGTCATTAAATTATTTACCTAATGTGAGTTGATGATGTTTCATTTAAGTACTTTATGTCTATGCTGAGAATCAACAGTTAGGATTGCTAAGGAGTTACGTATAGTAATGTTACGTATAGTAATGTTACGTATAGTAATATTTCCAGGTGATGGTTTTATTGTAGCAGGCATTTTTCATCTGCAGGATTTTAGATGCAAAGTAATTTACTGTAGGATAGCTGACAAAAACATATGGAGCCTGAACCTGCTGCAATTTCGGCCCTCTAGAATTCATTCTCTCCCTTTTGCAGCCTCCATTTTAAAAAACAGTTAAATTTCTTGCTATTAAGTTTTGGATAATTCTATTCCAAGTTAGTAAAATCTACTTAAGAAAACCAGTCTCGGGCTGGGAATTTGGCTCAAGCGGTAGCACGCTTTCCTGGCATGCGTGCCGCCCGGGTTCGATCCTCAGCACCACATACAAACAAAGATGTTGTGTCCGCCAAACATTAAAAAAAAATATTAAGAAAACCAGTCTCATTCTGATACATTTCTTAGGTTCTTTGAAGAATGATTCACTTTGAGTTCTAAGAAAGCGGTACCCCAAGAGAAAACCAGAATTGTGTGGCAATGCATAACTGCCAAAAATTTTGATGAGTCCTGGAGGATTAGGTTATAGTTCAATCAGCAAGGTTCTTAAAATTTTGTTTTCTTCCCTCATTGCCAGTATTAGAGAAAGGCTTCACCGAATTAGCTCCCCCTACCCTGCCTCCCCACCACCCCTTTGCCTAAATCTACCAACAATCTGTTTTCTGAATTATTGCTGCTGGAATTTAAAATGAAATATTATGCAACCTATTCTGCCATAACCATGCTTCTGTAACTCAAATTACAAGGAATGATGTCAGCAGTAACATGCAAGGAACTTGAAAACATGCTTTGTGGTCTTTTCCTTCACAAGAAGCCAGATTAGGAGGAGAAATGGAAAAGGTCTATAGTTGGACTATAGCACTGGCTATTGGAAACCTTGTTTTGGGACACTTAGGGGATAAACAGGGCAGCCAGGCCACCCAGCAGCTTTGCAGCCTTTTGGCTTGTCCAAGTTGCATTCTTTTGTGCCTGCTATAGAGTTTAGAGCTTTATTCCCATCCGTGTCACTTTGGTATTCACAGCCCTTCCTTTTTTTTTTTTTTTTTTGCGTTGGGGGGGGTGTTACTGGGGATTGAACTCTGGGGCACTTGACCACTGAGCCATATCCCCAGCCCTACTTTGTATTTTATTTAGAAACAGGGTCTCACTGAGTTGCTTAGAGACTCGCCATTGCTGTGGCTGGCTTTGAACTTGCAATCTCCTGCCTCAGCCTCCTGAGCCACTGGGATTACAGGCGTGTGCCACTGCGTCCAGTTTCATAGCCCTTCTTGTTATATTTCCATGAAAAGGAGAAAAAAAAACCCACTATCATAGATTCCACACTTCTGAGTTGCTGCCCTAGGTAATCCAACTGGTTCGTGTGCTTATTACAACAAAGTTGTTTAGTTGGAGTGGACTGCTCCAAACCCTAACTCTTCTATTTTCACAAACTTTTTTACTGTGTGCTTTTTGTAGAGTCTTTCAAGAATGAGTTATATAGCCATGCCCTACATAATGACATGTCAGTGAGGGACCACATATTCATTGGTGGTCCCATAAGACATTGCTTAGTGACACGGTGGGGGTTGGCTTAGTTTATGCAAGCACACTATAATGTTGCACAGTGCTGGAGTTGCCAAATGATGCTGTCCTTAGAACATTCCTTGTTAAGCCATGCATGATTCTACTATGTTTTAGCAGAGACACTGGCTTTATTAATTGCCTTTTTATTTCCTGATGAATTCAACTTGGTCTAGATTGTTGAGAACCTTGCCAATAAAAAAAATTCAAATAAAGGTAATTTCGATAAAGTCAAAATAGGACTCTTTCAAAGACAATCATAACCTCAGGATACAGTGCAAAGGAAGGTGCTTACCGTAAAATAACAGCTTCAAAGAGAGAATGATCCCTGTGGACATAGGTCTAACCAGTGTGTGTAGCTAAAAGGTGATTTTCCTTCAGAGTTACCCCAGCTTGGTGAAGCTGGTTGTGAGCAGAGGTGGTAGGTTTTAAAATAAATCTAGATTACTCAATATTTCTTTTGACTTCGCTTATGATGTTACTCAAAGCAGAAGTTACTGAGGGATTTTTATCCTTTGTGTTTACCAAGGCCCTCTCACTCTCCGTGTGTGTGTGTGTGTGTGTGTGTGTGTGTGTAATTAAAGGGAGCCTGTCCCATAAGCTACCTGTGCAGGGCTTGGAACAAGGAAGAGAATTGTGTTTGAGGTGAGGGGCTGGTGCTTGAAACACCTCTGAGTTCAAAACTCTTGTTGTCAACTTTTTTTTTTTTATGTTTATAGATAGTTTGTGAATCAAATAGAGGCACAAAATAGGAATAGTTTTCTAATAAATATGAAATCGTAAATGTAAAATCAGAGAACAAATAATTGTCCAAAAATGTATAAGTATGTGGACACTGGTGGGATCAATTTTAAAGAGCTCAGTTATTCTAATGTGAAGGGTTTGTTATTTCAAAGTTCCTCAAAATAATACCTAATGTTCCTGTGTACTGTGTCCTGAATTCATCTAAGTACAAGATAGAAACTTGCAAGTATATTCCTTCAAAAAAGAAATCACCATTGACATTTTACCTGTATTTAATAGATTTCTTAGGAACGTGTATATACATATCTGTATATATACACATACACATACCAGCAAGGACATAGGTTTAGAAGAAAAAATACACAAAAAATGTATTAGAGATTGGAAAGAAGATGATTCAGTCTGAGAAGGGGAACTGTATTTAATCAGATACCAGATATAGCATTAATTTTGAGTTGTTTCATCAAAATACACTTCTACTGCAAAATCTGGACGGTAAATTTTCCATGTTTTTGGTTTATGGGGATTGTCCAATTGATTTCTTGTTAGAGTAAGCCTAAGGATAGAATAAAAATCATTACATTTTATTTTAGGGCTAACAGAAAAGCCATGCAGTTAGTAGGGTACTCTTGTTGGCACTTTAGAAAAGACTTGCCATGTTTAGAACCTCCACCCTTTTTTTGTGTATGTTGGTTGGCTCCTTCCATCTCCCTGTTAAGGGACCAAATACCTTAATCTTCAGTAACAATATGTTACTGATTCTTTTAACATTGTCTCTCATGGAATTAATGACATCTAAATTTAATAAAATATCTTAATTTCTGTAAGTGACATAAATCAGGCAGATACTAGATATGTAACAAAATCCAGTAATAAAATATTGTCTCTTAAATGATGAAGTTGGTATTTTTGGCTAAAGAATAGTTTTATAGCTATTTAAAAAAAAAAAAAACTTTACCAGGGAGTATATAAAAACAAATGTGATAGCTATCTTTAGAAACTTATAATAAAGTGAGAATAAAAGTGATTTAATGTGTTAATTCTTTAATAATATAAATATGGCAGTTTGAAGGAAAACTGTATCCTTTAGCAAGAACTACTTTTGAGGAACAACGGGAAATGAGATTAAAATCAACTCTCTCTATTGGAGGGACTTTACTCATGTTAGGAGTCAAAGTTCATTGTAGGCATACACCCAGGAAAAATATTTGGAAAAATATTCCTTCAGGGGGCTGGGGTTGTAGCTCAGCGGTAGAGCGCTCACCTAGCATGTGAGAGGCCCTGGGTTCGGCCCTCAGCACCACATAAAAATAAATAAATAGAATAAAAGCATTGTAAGCATTGTGTCCAACTACACCTAAAAAAATATTTTAAAAAATATTCCTTCAGATCCAAAGTCCACTCTCTCAAGATCTAAATGTGTGTATCACAAGTGCATAGACCACACATTCCATTTACTCTTGTCTTATTAGACTTGAGGCATTATTATATCCAGTTCAGATTTGAAGAAAGAGTAGGATTGGATAAAAGGACAATTCATATCACCTACAATCACAACCACTTCTCCAATTATAACCTGAATGAGTTTAGTAGTTATTTTTCCTTTTGTATTGGATAATTTGGTACTACCTAAAATCTTATGTTTTTTTTTTTTTTTTAATCACCACAGGAAATACTGCTTAAAATGGAGAACTTCTAGAATCAGGAGTGAGTTTCCAGATGTGGTACAAATTTCATTGGAATAATAATCTTCAAATCCAATTAATAAATTTAAAAAACTGTTTCCCAGTTTAGATATTAGAAGCTCATGTTTAAATGAGAGACTATTAGGTCAACAGGTATAGCCACTTGCCTAGCATGCATAGGGTCTTGTGTTCAATTCCCAGCAAAAAAAAAAAGGGGGGGGGGACCTTATTTTAACCATCTTCCATAATACTTAACGGTGTTTTATAACTTCTCTAGATAGAAATTGCCAATCAGATTTTAAACAAGCTTCCTTGATTACTTATTTATTTTGAGTACTGGGGATTAAACCCAGGGGTTCTTTACCCCAGTTCTTTCAATTTTTATTTTGAGATAGGGTTTTGCTAAATTGCTGAGGCTGACCTCGAACTTGGACTCCTCTTGCCTCAGCTTCCCAAGTCACTGAAATTACAGGTGTGCATCATCAATTGGCTTACTTAATTACACGTTAGCATAGAATTTGTGGTCAGCCATTATCACTGAGTGCCTGCTATGTTCAGTGTACTGGATTGCACATTAATCTTCACAGGAGGAGTCCATAACCACACTCAAGATCCAAGTGTAACACATTTTTGGAATCATGTAGCACAAAACTAAAGGCTAATGCAACTGTGCATCTCAAGAACAGCTGTATTTTTAAAATAACCACATTCAAATGAACAAGGCAATGAAGAATTCTGACTTGAATGATTCAAGAATTTTTTGGAATCTGTAAATTAAATTTAAAACAGTGGCAAACACTTGCCATTACACCTTATACAAGACATTGAAACTTAAGTTGTTTTGACTGGATTACATTATATTCCTACCTGTTATTTTTTATAAAAGATGTGTGAAACCAGAAAAAAAAACAACAGTTGTCATAGTATTTAGGAAGATCCTATAAAAACATAGTTAAAGAAAAGAAAGTTATTTTCATAATAAAATCAATACCCCAAACTAATGTTTCTGAAGGGATTAAAATTCCTTCCTTTATATGTTTATTAAATAAAGTAGCAATTAAGTATACAGCACTCTACAATCTAAGACAATACACTTAAGATATAAAGAAGGAGGCTTAAAAGAATGCTGTTGCTTTCTCTGTTTCTATCAAACATTTTGAGGAATGTATTTTTTAAGTGTTGAAAATGTATTATCTTTATTTTGTTGGTATTTTGAATGAAAACATAAGGGTCCAAAATAGTGAAGTGAAATAAAATAGGTAAATTGAACTTCATTAAAATTTAAAACCTTTATGCATTAAAGGGCTCCATCAGCAGGGTGAAAACATAAGCCACAGAATGAAAGGAATATTTTCAAATCACATATCTGATGAAAGTCTCAAATCCAGAATATATAACTAATTATGAAATCAACAAAAAAGATAATCCAGAGAATATATCCAAACAGCCAGCAAGTGCATTAACTGATTCTTAGTCACAATGTCAATAAGGTAACACTTCACACCACTAATGTCACTGATTAAAAAAAAAAAGCAAAAATAGAAAAAATAGAGTATTGGTGAGGATGCAGATAATTGGAGTCCCTCATATATTCCTGGTGGGAATGTAAAATGCTGCAAGCCACTGTGGAAAACAGTTCGACAGTTCCTCAATAAGTTAAATGAAGAATTACTATATAATAGCAATTCCCTTCTAAAAAATGTATTTTTGATAGATACTTATACATTTACACACTGGTCTTTTAAACTGGATTAGATGGTGCTAAACAGAATCTACCAAGGACCATGCCTATTTATATGCAAACATGTCATAATGAATTCTTAAAATATTTTGCCTTGGCATCATTTTAAATGTCAGACTTTCTCATACGAGAAGCTGGGCTCCATTATTATTGAGTTTCCAGTTCTCTGCTTACTCCCAGTTCAATGTAATCAATTCAGATATCTGTCTTACATAGCTACCTCCTGGTGACCACCTTCCTATGGGACAGCTACACACAATGCACTTAACTTGCCCCATTGACCGCCATACTCCAGGGGACCTGTACAGATATGCCACAGAGATTACTTCTCAGTCACAGTGTGTGACTTCTTGGACCTTATACTTGTTTCCTTTAAGCCCACTCCAATTAGATCTCCCTGTGGAAAAACTACAAGGAAAAACTATATACTCTGGACCCCAATAAAGTCTTTGATCCTCAGGTCTCTTTCTCTCTATTGCTCCTCTCTGCTGGTTGAGCAAACATGTCCTTGGCTCCCACCTTCCCTTTGGCATTGTAAAGTGTGCTTCACTCTTCTCTCTGGGATCTGTAAGTAATAAAAAACTGCTTCTGTTACTTCATGAATTTTGTTGTGTGGACTGCTCTATTTTACTTGACCAACACAACTGAATCTAACCCTCTCCTCAGGGTTGTCTTAGGGAGTGGCCAATAATCTGGACATGTCAGACATGAATCCCGGGGGTGCTTGCCAATATAGACAAGTTTCCTGGGAGAGGGATACCTTGTCACCAGACACTCAAGCATAAGGATGTCCCAGGATAAAGAAATATTCTGTGAAAAACCCAGTGTAAACATCCAAAACCACTTAACATGGAGCCTCATTAGAAGAAAGCTAGAATTTATAGCCAGTCTTCAGAGAGAGAAACCTCAAGACCAAATTAGAGAAAAATACAATATACATATTCATTTAAAGAAGGAACAGCTACACTGAATAATTAACCACCAATACTGATGATAATAAAATATTTTAAAAAGTGCTTTCATGTCATGGCTTTTAATAATCACAAAAGCTCGATATTACTCAGGCCCCCAGGCCAGTGAGCTTTACATTACTGTTTCTGCTCAGCGACTGCTATTTGAACAAGAACTCAAGAGTGGCCCCATTAATCAAGGGGCAACCATCAGAACAGGAAATATCCAGGTTACTTGCTTCAACACATTTACCATTTTAATATTTAATAGATTCTCTTCCAACAGGGAAAAAAAGAGATAAAAAAGAGCACAGGGAATAAATTCTAAATCTACCAACATAGTTACTTATTGGAAGTTATATTTGATGATTTGATAGTAAAATGAAACTAGCAAGGTATAGAAATTTGTTGTGCACAGAATAATACTCAGATATAATATAATAATAATAGTCAGATATAATGTTATATACTCATGATATTCAGAGTAATGGCAATGGAAAGCATTATCATTTTTCATAAATATTAAATTAATGCATATTGTTTATATCATGAATCAATTCAGAGGAAGGTAGAGTCTCCCTCACTTTAAAATATTTTGTACATTATTGACAGCAATGCATTTCAAAAAAATAAAACAAAAATATGATCACTGTTTAGCAGTATAAAACATACCTTTAGGACTTTTTTACCATCTTGATTTTTGTACTTTTTCTTATTTTAAAATTAATATATGTGAATTGTATAGAATTTAGAAAAAAGAATGAGCAAGAAAACCTTTAAGTTACATGTTCTTCTTTCACAAATTTTTGTTGTAGATTTGATTTGTTGTTTTTCTCCCCTACCCTGGCCATTGATTGATATCAATTCCCCTGTTGGGAATTGTAGCAGAGGAAATTCCAAATGAAAAATCACTCAAAAGACCAGAAAATAACAATAGCAGAGACTGTTTCTTGATTACTCACTGTGGAGAAAAACTGTACTTTCACATCATCATAGAGAACTGGACTGTTGATTATAATAAATATTACTCTGTCTGATTCAATGTCATGAAATATCTGTGAATAAACACATGAAATTCAGAACCATGAACCCAGTTGATGATGAGATAAGTATAACAATGAAGTTTGTTTTCACTTACCCAGACTTCCTAAACTTATCAAGTACTCTTGGTCTCATAGCCCAGTCATTTCATGTATAAGTAAATGCTAATCATCATTTCTGTGAAGCTTCGATATACTACTGAGCTATCCCTACCTGTTTGAGAGTTAGAATGAGGCACTGTTGAGAGCAAAGTATTTGATTTTCTACTAGAGTTTAACCAAGTATAAACATGACTGTTTAAAGTATATCATCTGATTTTCATATATTGAGACCTCTTCTAAGAATGCACTATGAAGCCAAATTTTAAAGCTGGCATTGTTATTCAAAAAACAGTGCATAGCAGATGTTTTATCAAAGATCTTGTCCATTGCTGGCTGATGGATGGAGTGACCAAAGATAGATCAAGTTTCTGGGAAGCTTTGAAACTATATTAAGTATTTCTTCATTAATGATTTTTTCATCATATAATAATGGCATCCACATTAAGAATGGTCTATATTAGTCCCTTTGAAAAATACAGAAGGCACAGATTCTGTCCCTTCAAGGAGTTGTATATATAAGGAACAATACTAGAACGATAAATAATTGAGTGTCAAGCTGTATATGAAGATTGTGTGTTCTGTTCAGCATTGTGGAGACAGGGGTATGAACAGGAGATATTGAATGGGAGAGCTTCAAAACATAATTTGTAGACCTTGAGTTGGGCATGGAAAGATGGGGATAAAAGAATAGTCTGAACATGGGGGGAAAGACCAGCAAAAATATGAAGTAGAAATTAGAGACATGTTCCAAGAGCCAGAGGGGATGACCCATGCTACTCAAATGGAGTCTATAGGTCAAGTTATTGATACAAATAAGCTTAGGTATCTTAGGGATATCATATCTTGAGCACTCATGAACCAGGGAAATAAGAGTATAGTTTTAGAAAACTAGTGCATCATTTCCTGTGTGACAAAAGGTGACCTAATGGGCTGGGGATGTGGCTCAAGCAGTAGCGTGCTTGCCTGGCATGCATGCAGCCCGGATCCAATCCTCAGCACCACATACAAACAAAGATGTTGTGTCCGCCGAAAACTAAAAAATAAATATTAAAAAAATTCTCTCTCTCTCTCTCTCTCTTTAAAAAACAGTTGACCTGATAATTATCATCTATGCCATTTATTTAGTAATTTTAATTTTCACAACACTTAGATGTGATCTTTATTTCACAGATAGAAATGTTTAGTCAAATATGTTACCTGGCATGACCATAGACATACTGTGTGTTTTCTTCTCTACCTACAGCTTTTTGAAATGAGATCAGTATTTCCGGATACATATTATAGAACTCCACACACTGCATTGCATAAGGAGAAAGGGCATGAAGGCTACTGCAGAAACCTTGGAAGTGGCAGTGGGAACATAAAGGAAGAGAAAGTAATGAGAATTTTCAAAGATAGAATCTGCAGGAATTGGTGATTAATTGGATTTGGGGGGCCAAGGCAAATAAAGAATCAAAGACAATATCAAATTTTATGACCTGAGAGGAAGTATATTGTGGCATTTGCAGAAACAGTGAAAAAGCTCATTTGATAAATCATGATTGATTAATGTGTATAAATTGTTAGGATAGAGATTGCCCTTGTTGTCTTTCTTGTATCTACTACACAGAAGGTGATCAAATATCTGCTCAAAGAACAAATGATATTTTAAAGAAGAGGAATGGATGAGTAAAACCAAGAAAAGAGTATTTGCAAATGAAGTAGAGACCAAAAGAACAAAGGATTGATGAAAGAGTTGATTTTTGAAAGATAAACAAAATTGACAAACCCTTAACTAAAGTAACCAAAAGAAAGAGTAAGAATGCTGAAGTAAGTAAAATTAGAAGGGAAAAGGTGATGTTACAACACTGAATCCAGAGGGTCATTAAGCAATATTTTGAAAAGCTAAATGCCAACAAATTGGAAAATCTAGATGAATGAACAAATTTCTGGACACATATGGCCTATCAAAATTGAATCAAAGGATATAAGTAGATCAATAATAAGCAGTGAGTTTGAGTAGGAATAAAAAGTCTCCAAACAACAAAAAGCTCAGGACTGGACAGATCTATTGCTGAATTTCACCAGACTTTTAAAGAAGAACAAATACCAATGTTCCTCAAAATATTCCATAAAATAGGAAGGTAAGGATCCCTTTCAAACCCATTCTATGAAACCAGTAAGTATTACCCTGCTACCAAAACATGAGAAGGGCACAATACAACAACAAAAAGGAAACTATAAACCAGTATCCCTGATAATGCAAAATCTTTAATAAAATACTTGCAAATTGAATTTAACAGCACATTAATAAGGTCATATACTATGATCAAACTGATTTCATTTTTGGGTTGCAAGATTGGTTCAAATATGCAAATCAATAAATATTAAACAGCACATAAATAGAGTCAGAGATAAAAAAAATCCCATGACCATCTTAACAGATGCAGAGAAAACCTTTAATAAAATTCAACAGCCCTTCATTAAGAAAGCCCTGAATAAGATAGCAATAGAAGGACCATACCTCAAAATATGACAAACCAATAGACTACATTATACTATATAGAGAAGAACTGAAAACACTTCCTCTAATATGAGGAACAAGAAAAGGGTATATACTATCACTGCTCTTATTCAATGTAGTACTTGAAATTTTATCAAGAGCAATTAGAAAAGAGAAAGAAATAAAAGGGATACAAACAGGAAAGGAGGAAGTTACATCACTACTCTTTACATATGATATGATTCTATACTTGGAATACTCCACTAAAAGGTTCTTAGAACTAATACACAATCCAGCAAAGTAATAGGAGACAAAATCAACATTAAAAAATCAGTAGCTTTTCTATATACCAATAATGAACTTATTGAGAAAGAAATCAAGAAAACAATCCCATGTATAATAGCCTCAAAGGAAAAAAAAAAAGAAGAAAACCCTAGAAATAAATCTAACCAAATGGGAAAAGCCTTCTACAATGAAAATTATAAAACATTGAAGAAAGAAATTGAAGAAGACATTAGAAGATGAAAAGACATCCTATGTTCATGGATTGGAAGAATTAATATTGTTAAAAGGACCACACTGCCAAAATCATCTACAAATTCAATGCAATCCCCATCAAAATTCCAATGACAGAAAAAGAAAAAAAAGACATTCTTCACGGAACTGGAAAAAACAACAATAACACTAAAATTCATTTGGAAGTTCAAAAGACTGTGATTGGACAAAACAATCTTGAGCAAAAAGAACAATGCTGGAAGCATCACAATATCTGATCTCAAAATATAGAGCCACTGTATGGCATGGTATTGACATAAAAAAGACATAGACTGATGTAATAGAATAAGGAACTCAGAAATAAAGCCATGCCGCTACAGCTATCTGATTCTCAACAAAGATGTTAAAAACATAAGTTGAAGAAAAGATAGACTCTTCAACAAATGGTGCTTGGAAAACTGAATATCCACTTAGCAGATAACCAAAAAACTTCCTTGATTCTATTAATTCCTAGGTTTTTTTGTTGTTATTCTTTACTTTAACAAGAACAGAAGATTGAAACTAGACCCCTATCTTATCCTGTATAAAAATCAACTAAAAATAGACCAAAGACCTTAACATAAGACCTGAAACTTTGAAACTACTAAAGGAAAAGCATAGGGGAAACACTTTGAGAGATTGGTATAGACAATGATTTCCTGAATAGGATTATAATATCTCAGGAAACAAAGGGAAGAATTGACAAATGAGATTGCATCAATATAAGAAACTTCTGCATGGCCAGGAAACAATCAACAGATTGAAGAAACAATCTATATAGTGGGAGAAAGTATTTAGTAGCTTTTCACCTGACAGAAGATTAGTACCAGAATACATAAAGAACTCAAAAAACTTAAAAGGTCAAGTAATTTAACTTTAAAAATGGGCAAATGAGGTTGATACTTCTCAAAAGAAATACAAATGGCCAATAAATATACGAAAAGTACTAATAATCTTTAGCTATCACTGAAATGCAAATCCAAACTACATTGAAATTCCATCTCACTTCAGTCAGAGTGGTTATTATGAAAAATACAAAAAATTAATGCTGGTGAGGATAGGAAGAAAAAGGAACACACAGATTGTTAGTACAGCTGAACACACATACAGCTACTATGGAAATCAGTATGGAGGTTCCTCAAAAAACTAAAAAGAGACCTGGCTATCCCACTCCTGAGTATATATCAGAAGGAAATAAAGTCAGCATACAAAGAGATATCTGCATACCCATGTTTACCGAATCACTATACACAATAGCCAAGCTATGGAATCTAGCTACGTGCCTATCAACAGATGAATGGATAAAGAAAATGTGGTATATATATATATATATACACAATGGAGTATTATTCAGTAATAAAGAAGAATGAACTCATGTTATAAGCAGGAAAATGAATGGAACTAGAGGATATCATTTAAGTGAAATAAGCCAGACAGAAAAACAAGTATCAAGTATCACATGTTTTCTTTCATATGTGAAAACTAGAAAAGAAAAAAAAAAAAGTGACCTTAAAATAGAAGAGTGACTATTAGAAAAGGAAACCAGAGGGAGAAGGGGAAGAGGGGGAAGGGAAGAGAGAGTTGAAGAGAGGGTGGACATGATAAAAATACCATATATGCATATGTGGAAATGTCACAATGAAACTCACCAATTTTTATAATTAATATGCATTAATAATTATTATAAAAAATAGAGTATTTGCAAAGAACAGAAAGCTAAGGATTAGGCCTAGGTGAATACCCCCAGTGAGGGGAGGACAAAAAAATTTTTTTAAAGTAGGGTTGGAAAGGGTAATAATGTTGGTAAAAGAACTTGAAACAAGAAGCTAGGAGGGGATTCTAAAAGTTTATGTTCTTAGATCCACAAATGAAACTTTCTTATTGTTTCAGAAAATGTCTATAATCTTAAACATTTCTTTTACATTTTAGCTTAACCTTGCCTCTCAGCCCCCATTGCTTTGGGTAAAGAAGTTTCTGTGTACTCCATATACTCTTGTATACTCTCAGGATGCCACCCCATAGAACGTGTGAGTTAGAATTACTGGGGACATTGCTAATTTCTGGGCCCCTTCCAGATTTCCTGAATCATACTTTGGAGGTACAATCTAAAAAATGTGCCTCTTTACAAGCTCCCAGTCATACTAAATTTTGAGAATCAGTTCTATACAATAAAAGATAAAATTACCAAGAAGATAAGATGGCAAAAGCTGACCAGATAGATGAATTCAAATCTTGACAGATTTCTGGGAGTATGCTTAGCATTTATGGAAAAGTAAAAGCAAAACAACTCTCTGAACTGGCTAAAATTCTGGAAAATGCTCTGAAAAAGTACACTTATTTCTAATTTGCATCCAAACCAAGCACCAGGTTAGGTGGTAACCAGAAAGCAACAGGGCATCTCTCTGTGGTGAGTGATGATTTGGGCAGGTCAACAGGCTGATTTGACATTGAGCTTTAAAATAAACACCAGAATTTTTGGATCATTGCTTTCTCTTACCCTACAGTTACTGGAACTAGAAGAAAAGACAGTCTTCCGATGCATTACTATATGTATTTTTAGATCAGTTCCATTGCCTTTTCCAACACCTGAATAAAAGTAAAAAGATATGCTGGTTAGAGCAAAGAGTAATGTCGTGCCAATTAACTTTATGGATTAAAAAGAGAAAAAGTTTTCCAAGCTACCATAATAGTGATATTGGATCATTTGGTCTTGCATGAATTTTGTTTTGAAAAACAAGTATTCAAGCTCAATTCTGTCTCCTAAAACAGAATTTATTAAGATTGGAGAAAAAGAGGAAAAAAATATGTGTAGTTCAGCTTCTAAGAATTAGAATCCCATTGCTTACCTTTCTGTAGAAAAATAATTAGGGAAGGTGATTTGCAACCCTTTTTGCTAATGCATTGCTTTCTTCAGACTTCTAATCATAATGTTTTTAAATAATAATACATTCCTGTTGCTCTATTTTAAGTCCATTTCCTACAGCAAACTCTACGAAAATATGGGAGATTTATATGCAAACATTCCTGTGAAGTTTAGTACATATTTACAGATAAATGATCTTTTTTAAAAAATATTTATTTTTAGGTGTAGATAGACACAACACAATACCCATTATTTTTATGTGGTGCTGAGGATCGAACCCAGGCCCTGCTCATTCTAGGGGAGCGCTCTACTGCTGAGCCACAATCTCAGCCCCTACAGATAAATAATCTTATTTCCCTCTTTTTTGGTTCAAATGACCCATTTCCTTCAGCATTTCCTTAAAGACTTGGTTTCTGAAGCCTCCAATTGATTTTTCCCCTTCCTTTCATCCTACATATTTCACTTTGACAAATAAACTAATAGTCATATATTAATCATTCTCAATTACTCAATTCATATTCTGTTTTTGTTTAAGTGTGTCATTAACACTATGTTATCAATGTGTCCTTAGAAATCATGTTTTTTTCAGTCAGTTCCCTCTGTCCCATTCTTATTGAAGACTTTCTACTGATGTCTATAAGAAATCAGTAAAATGTATAACTAAACTAAGTCAAATGCTTATCACATGAGAAGTAAAGAACATTGATTTGAGCCCTTAAATTCCCATACACTAAAAACTCATGCAAATGTATCTGGATAACTTAAAAATAAAAATAAAAAAATAACATGAAGTGATAGGTCTCCATCTCACCCACTCTTCACCTATGTAGTTCCTCAGTCCCAAATATATAATCACTCCTATTAATTTCTTATTCGTTTGCATGTATAATCAAATATGAATATATATTCCTCAGAATTTTATATATTTGTAATTATACAAATATGAATGTATTATCCCCCCTTTGCCAGAATACTGCCATGTACCTTGAATTTTTTTAAACGCTTGTCAAAATTTGGATTTAAGTCATAAAATAAATGAGAAACCAATAAAATGTTACATACAGTTGGCTCAAAATACTACACATTAATTAATATGATGTACTGAATATACAAATAGATGTATTCCACTTGATACAACTAATTTGCATTTGCATGGAAAAATTATTTTTGAATTATTATCAATTTTACACAGTTTAAAAGAGCTATAAAATAGCTTAAAGACAGTGAAAAGTAGAGATAATTCTAGAAGGATGCTCTGGACAAAAGATTACTCATTTCAGAGTTTTTCACACATCTTTTCCTTACACAAAGATTATTTTTATTCTAAAATAGACTAATCTCGTTAGGTTTAAACTCAGTATTTACAGGAGTCCAGGAAGAATTTTGCTCTGCCATATAGGCCTCCATAGGTCTGTTCTACAAATAAAACCCATATAATACTGACCAGTTAAGGTCATAATCTTGAGCTTCTATCTGGAAGTCTCCATGAGGAATCTCAAGTTTGACTTTAAAGTTCTCCATTTCATCTTGGCCCATTGAACCCACTAGACTTCACCTTCAGTGCTTATAGATTTGGATTAGTTCCTCTGTTCTCCAGATCTGTACCTTATAGCTTTAAATAAACAGTGTCTCCATGGGGTTAAATAAAATTCAAAACGTTATTAAGAGAGAAATCCCAGTCTTATAATATCAGACTAAGGCAGTAAATAAAATTTGAGAATTTATTAAAAATATTTTTAAGCTTAAATTTTTGAGAAATGATTCTCATTGTTTATATTGGAGAAATCATTAAAATTTCATAGACTAAATGTCTCTTTCCTGTGTGGAACAGTTTAGTACTCCTAGGGTTTGTATAGATACTGTTATTCCCATTGATAACAGAGAGGATATTAAGGCAGAGTATACAATCATGTATTACACAGGCTGTCATGACCCTTTGTAGTTAGAGCTAAATTTTCTCAGGAAGAAATGGCTCCCACAGCAGAATGTGTTGCCTCTCATGCTACAGAAAAAAATTAGTCTTCATCTTTTTGGTGGGTCCCACTGAGTGTGGAAAGGAAGGGGAGTGAGGCACTGCTGTCCCAATCTTTACTATCTGTTGGATAAGCCTGGAATCTCTCCTTGTGTGATGTCTGATTCCAGTTAGGGTTTTGAGTTAGGTCTGTCTTAGGCTTCACTACAGTTCTGTCCCTCACAGGAGCCATGAAGCAGTTATGGTGGACTTGGCAGTCTAAAAGTCTTTTCCCAAACAGTTGTTCATTCATGTACCCAGGCAGTCTCCTGTTAGGACACTCTGGGTTTCAAGAGAGCTTGCAGTGTGCTTATTTGGAACATAAATCAAAAATTTCCATAGGAACATTGAGTTTGCTTTCAAAAGCCAGAAACCTATGTATTTGTTTGTGGTAATCCATCCAAATTCCTGGGGGAAGTAAAACTGTAAACAATTTGAAAAAAAAATTTATATTTTAATGAACAATATCTCTGCAGTTTTTATTTATATGTCAAAGACTTCTTTCATTTCTGATAAATTGGACAAAATGTCAAATAAAGTATTATTAGATCTTGTTTTGTGATTCCTCAGAAGGCCAGACTACAGCCTAGGCTGTATCAGTGGATGCTAGGACCCTGCCAGCACTTGGTACCTGCCTATGGTCTTTGATCTGGCTGGTTTAAGAGTTTTGCTTGAAAGTTTCAGAAGCATTGCCCCCTTGCTGCCTCCCTGGCAGTGGAGTGGTAAGGTTCCATCCCCTGTTTTTCCACCTCCCCTGAAAGTGAACTGTGCAGGGGAAGCACAGGAGGGGGTGAAGAAAGAGTTGTGGGTTGGAGCTCATTCCTCTCCCTGCTTCCTGTCATTTTTTACATCCAAGAGATGGATAATCTAAACAATTTTCCCAACTTCCCTGGGTAATGGTGGTTTTCAGCCATAGCTTCTCTCTCCTTGCATTCCAGAAGCAGTCAAGTAGTTGGTTCTTGGGAAGTTGGTAAGGATTGTTCTTCCTGGTAATACTTGGTAGCAGACAGGGGGTTAGAAGACACTCTCCCCACTTTCTCCCAATCCTTTTCATTTTCATCTAGCTTCATGTAGAAGGGAGCCAAGTTCTTCCCCTTAGGAAGCTTTTCTAAACACTCACCCCATCTCTGTGTACTCTAACACTGTGGTCTGCTCTTTATATTCTTATTTCTTTCCTCTGTCAACCATACAGGGACTCCTTAAAGGCAGGGAACACTAGCACAGGACCTGGCCCCAAACAGGTACTCAATAGTTATATGACAATAAATAAATAAATATTTACTGATCAGGTATTTAAGACATCTTTATGGAGATGCTGGGGGTGAGGGTTATAGGAAGAAGAGAGAGGAGAAAGGGAGACACTCTGGTGATGAGAAAAAATGGTCTCTGAAAGGAGTAGGTGATAAAATGATATGGGGACACCTCTGCCAAGATGAAACTGAAACAGAGGTGGGTATGGGAAAGAATTAGTCTTGAGTGCTCACAGGACCTTCTTCCCTCCACCAAAGGATCTGCCTTGAAAAGTCTACTCTGGGCTGAGGCCAAAGGAGCAAAAAGAACAGGAGAGAAGATAAGGGAAGTGAAGGGAAGAGATAGAGCCCTCTCTCTCCAAACTGGTGATAGGAAAGGGAAGAAGAGGGACATCTAAGAGTTGTCAATGTGACTACTCACTGCCTGTCAAAATGGACAATTCCAGGGGGAGGAGTTCATGTGTGAAGAAATGTAAAAATACAGCGATGGGTTAGAATAATCTGTATAACTATGTTCCCAAGTAGTGGGACCACTGGCCTCCTACCCAACCCGTCAATTATAAATAAAGCACTTACCATGAATTGAATAAATGATGAATTTTTTTATAATGAAATTCTGTCTTAGAGGTAGATCCCACTTGTAGTCACTTTTCACTTTTTCAAAATACCTCACATATCTACTCTGCAAAGCAACAGAAGCCTCAATTACATGAGAATTAAAGATCTACAGTCAGAATTCCTAACTAATCAAAACCTCTCTCTTTTGAAAAGGGCCTATTAAGGGTAGTAGAAAATTAAGGAAACACAGTATGCCATCACATAACTAGGTATTTTTATGCTAGGGTCTTACAACTAAGTATCTATGATGGAATTCAGTGCTGTGAAGAAGTGATATAAAAGGAGCCAGTTCTTGTTCTCAGGCTGCTTATGACTGAAAGGGTAGCTTAGTTTATGACTGAGTTAGAGGAAGGTTTGAGGTTTGGTGGAGAGTAATTTCCCAGTTATGGGAGAACAATATACAAAAAGTCCTCAGAGGAAAACATCCCTATATCAGCAGTAAATCAGATGTCATTCATCTCTGTCCCTGCTAGGTAGTTTCTTCACTTTCCATTTTTCAAATTCTGTTTTTGCAAGGAAACCTTGGAATTCTCTCAGTCTCATTTTTCCCCTATGGCAAGTTGCTCATGGATCTTTCTTCAAGGATTTGAATTCTGGGATGAATCAACTGGGATGTGCTAATAAAATTAAGTGCCATACTTCCTGTATGGTTTGGATCTGGAATGTTCCCCAAGAGCTCATGTGTTGAAGACTTGGTCCTCAGTGCAGCAATGTTCAGATATGGAGCTTTTGGGAAGTGATTGGATGATGAGGGCTTTGACTTCATCAGTGGATTAATCCACTGATAGCTGAACAGATTATTGGGAGGTATGGAAACTATAGGCAGGTAAGGCAGGGTTGGAGGAGGTATGTCCATGGGGGAGAGCCCTTCGGGACTATATCTTGTCCCTGGCTCTTCTTCCTCTCTCTGCTTCCCAGCTTCCATGAACTGAACAGTTTTCCTCTGCCATGCCCATTTGCCATGATGTTCTGCCTCACCTCAGGCTCAGAGAAGTGGAGGCAGTCAACCATGAACTAATATCTTTGAAACTGTGAGACAAAACAATTTTCTCCTCCAAGTTGTTTGTATCAGGTATTTTGGTCACAGAAATGAAAAGTTGGCTAGCATACTTCTCATTAGAAGGGAAGTCAGGGGAATGGTTCCCACAAGTTAACTTGGGAGTGGATGCAGTGCATTCACTAGAATGGCCCACAGTGCAGGGGCAGAATGTGGTGGTGTTTAAGAATTACTTCCCAACAGAGGTGTCTTTGCCTGGGGCCTTGACAACAAACTTCCCAAACATTCACCTGAGTCCTTACATTGCTATCAGAGTGTATGCCAGTTTGAAAGTAGTATTAGGGAAACTGCATGAGTGCAGAAGGGGAAAGTGAGATGTATAGGGACTGAGTTGTTGAAGGAGACACATCTAAGATTCCCTAAGTTCCTGCCACCAGATTCTCCATCTTCCACTAAAGGCTTTAACCCACCAGGTCCTTCAAGCTATTGCTGCTCTCACACTGCTGCAGAAATTAATACAACTAACACATAGTAAGAACTCAGTACAAAGAAGATATCAGGAAAGTGGTGAGACACTTTGGGAAGTGTAGGGTAGGAAGACTGGTAAGACACAGTCTTACTTTTAAAGGGGATACAAAAGTCACCCAGTTGATTCATCCCAGAATTCAAATCCTTGAAGAAAGATCCATGAGCAACTTGCCATAGGGGAAAAATGAGACTGAGAGAATTCCAAGGTTTCCTTGCAAAAAAAAGTTTTTTTTTCAGTGTGGGAATTGAACACAGGGTCTTGCACATGCCAGACAAGTGCTCTACCACTAAGCTAAAACCCAGTACAGGGCTGGGTATATAGCTCAGGAAAACAAAACCCACAAAAGACTATAACTGAAAAAGCAAATGCTGGAAAGGAAAGGAACTACAGAAAAAGGGACCCATGTGAGGCAATGAATGAGGGTGTAAAGTATTCATAGGCTAGGAAACAACAGACTGTCCTAATGTGTCTGAGTATGGGACACAAACCAAATTATGGAAGCAATCAAATTGTAGAAGCCAAGAGTACCAACTTAAAACTTCACTGCCACTGGCAGCAGGGAGTCATTACAGATTTTAGAGCTAGACTTTGGTAAGTTCATGCATTACTTTTAGCCTAGGGTCTGTGGTTATCTTTTCCTTTTTAAAAATTTTTTTAGTTATATATAGACACAATATGTTTATTTTTAATTTATTTTTATGTGGTGCTGACGATCAAACCCAGTGCCTCACATGTGCGAGGCAAGCTTTCTGCCACTGAGCCACAACCCAGCCCTACCTTTCCCTTTTATTTATTTATTTTTGGTAGTGGTAGGGTGGTTGTTGGTTATGGAAGAAAAGTGTAGTAGTAAAGCTGAGTTATTTTGTCTCAATCTAAAAATCAGTAGTAACAGTACTCTACTAACAAGGTCAAGGGCATCTATTCAGCTCCCATCACTACTGGAAGAAAGAGTCTCATTCACAACCGTATCCATAACTACTTAAGAATTCCCAACCAGTTTTCTCTTGGTTTGAGGGCAATATAGAGAAGGCAACATGGATAACAATGGGCTGCAGAATCCAAGAGATCTAGACTCTTAGTTCAAGATGTTGATTTCGCTAAACTTCAATTTCCCAGGTTGTAAAATGGGAATCATATTAGTGCCTACTCAGAGTTATTCAGAATACCAAATGAGATAATGAATATAAAGTCCTTAGCATGATTCAACAAAATCTAGAATTTTGTAAGCTCTATAGTATAAATAGAGGTCTTGGTTTCTGGTATAAACAAATTATAAGGAATAAAAAAGAGGCAAGAAATCTTTAAACTAAAAACATAGCAATCAAGTGAATATGTGGATCTTTTTTGGATCCTGACTGAAGTAAACTAAAGTGAAAAAGAATTTAAGACAACTATGGAAATTTGACATGAACTAGAAGTTTGATGTTGTTAAGGTATTATTAAGATATAATATTTTTAGATATTATAAATGGTATTAAGATGTTCTTCTGTCAGATATCATACTGAAATGCTTGTGGAATAAAATGATCTGATGATAAATTTCTTTCAAAATGATCCAGATTTAAAAAATGAAGGAATGGAGAGCGGTTCTCAGGGTTTTGTGAAGAATGGGGAGGGGGCAAATGAAACATGGTATGATGATTACAAAAGAATTTATTAGTGGGGTAGGGAGGGGGAGCATGGGAGGAATAGATGAATTCTAGATAGAGAAGGGGGTGGGAGGGAAAGGGAGGGAGCAGGGTATTAGCAAGGATGGTGGAATGTGATGGACATCATTATCCAAAATACATGTATGAAGACACGAATTGGGTATCAACCTACTTTATATACAAACAGAGACATGAAAAATTGTGGTATATATGTGCAATAAGAATGCAAAAAAAGTACATGTGTAAAGACATGAATTGGCGTGAATATATTTTATATACAAAGATATGAAAAATTGTGCTGTATATGTATAATAAGAATTGTAATGCATTCTGCTGTTGTGTATTTAAAAAATAAAATCAACTTAAAAAAGAATTTATTGTATTAATCTCTGGACTTTTGTATATGTTTGGAAATTTCCATAATAAAATGTTTTTAAGAGGAAAAAATAGCATAATAGCTTACATTTCATATGGGTGTTACAAGTATTAAATGAAATGTATATAAAAGTGCAATAATGTTTGCTATGTTATAGAATTTTTGAAAAATGTTTATTTCTCTTTTATATTCTGTTTCATAATACAACCTTCTCTTCCCTCTCCCTCCCCCTCTCTCTCTTGTGTGGCATGCCTGTGCTGTGGGTAGGCACGCACACACACACAGAGGATTCATCCAGAAACAGTCCTTGTGATGTTATATGAGCAATGAATTGTCAATTGCCTAGAGGAGTTTGTGAAAGACTTGGTTCCTCTTTACAGGGAAATCAAAGGCTGGTGATTTTAAGTAATCTTCAGGGGTCTGGAACGCTAGGTATTGACCTTCCAGCTTCTGAAGGATAATCAGATCCTAAGTTCTGTAAACAACCAAGATTATGAAATGGAAAGGAGAATGCTCCAGGGAGAACACAGGGCTTGCCAGTATAGACAGCACCAGAGGGGTCATTGTAGCTTCTGGAAGAGAGCAAGGCCTATGACAAGTCACCTAAGTGTTGTTGCCTGATCACTGGAGAAGAGTCTAAAATGAAACCAAATAACAGGTGCCAATTGTAACCCACCTCACAAAGAACTCTCCTTCTTAAAAAAAAAAAAAAAACTTACCTGTGAAGGAGTTTCTACTCCTTGATATTTAGAGCTTTTGCTTTTATCTGTTCGTCTTTGTCCAAAAAAATAAAGGCTTTCCTACAGAAAAGGGGACAGACAATATAACCATGGTTCATGTGCACTCTTCCATTTTCTATGTTAGGCATTCTTAAAGCTTCTAAGGGCATGCTATTTCCTTAAGTTAGCAGTCTTTGGACAAAGTCTACCTCAGATAACAAAATTAATGAAGCCATATCAAGGATTTCTCTATTTCAAAGACTCATTTACACATGGAGTTTAGAGCTGTAAATCATCTGGTACAATACTTCTTCCTACCTGCCATTTTACAAATGAGAAGACTGAGGTCAAATGAAAACCAAGTGACCTGTTAAGTGGCCTGTTAAGTGAAAACCAAGTGACCTGTAGAGATACTGCAGCCAGTTAGAGGTAGTACAGACCTAAGGCACAGATCCCCAGCTGTCAGGATAAGGCTCTGTATCAACTTCTTTAAATGTTTCATTTTTGAAGCTTCAACCCATATTAATGATATTAGCACATGTGTGTGTGCACGCACGCACACACACACACACACACACACACAATGTTTATTTTTTGATATTTTCTATTCTGCTTATTCCTTTTTATCAAAAATGCTGGACATAATCCAATAAGTAGACTTTATAACAACTCACTGTTATGATCCATAATTTGAAAAGCTGTGTCTTTGTATATTCATTTTTGTTGGGTCAGGCATTGGCCCAACCAATCCAGCCTGAGAACAGACATGGTGCTGCCCTAATCCCCAAGGGGCCATGGAGAGCAAGGATTGAACACCCATTTTCAAAACCTGTGTGTCTCAAGTTAAAAAACAGAAAGAGTGGGATTAGAAAGCTGAGCAAGTTTGTAGAACCCAGAGCTTCTTTTTTGTAGCCTAGGCCAAGAGATGAGCAGAGTTGTTGGGGATGTGTCCTATAAGTGTAACTTGTCAGCAAGATCCTGTCAGTAAAACAACTGAAAACTATGTTTTAAGAAGTGGAAACAGTCCACCTTATCCCCTCAAAAATTTTCAGAGGTCACAGATCTCCATAAATTGATTATGCAGAGAGAATAATATACAGAAGAAACTATGTTTTGAGTTGGAAACAATACTTTTTATCAACTTAGTAATTCTAAGGATGATCAAGGTCCTTTGGAGACTTATCTAATTAATCTGATAGAAACTTGTAGGAAGGAAGAAGCCATGTTACTGGTGGTGAGGAGAGGGAAGCATCTTGATTCCTGGAGTTTTTTGTATTTGCATAACTTTGCTCTCCCTCTCTTACTTTAATCCTGCCCCTACCAAGTCCTGCCTTTTAAAATAATGTTGATATTATATACATCATGGATTTTTTCACTAATTAAAAATACTGCAGTAATATGTCTTAATTATTGATATTTTTGGTATTCCATTAAATATTGTGCCTCACTGATATCATTCCAGTCTAGAGATACTCAGGACAGTTACTAACTGCATAATAAACTTAATAAACACAATAAATACTATAATAAACCAGGAGGTATCAAAACAAAGCTTCCTAAAAATGACCTCTCCTTGATTCAAAAAATCATCTTAACATTCTACAAGTGATGTTTCAGAATCAGCAAGTTCAACCAGACAGTGTACAGTAAGTAATGTCTTTCCTACCTCTGCAGTTAAAAACTTTCCACAGGCAAGAAGGTAGGCACAAACCATAGTTCCAGTTCTTCCTAGAAAATATAAGATGTTAGTTCAAGAAGTCATTTGTTTATTGTAGTACACAGTATAAAAATATACTCAGAAATACTCAAAAAGTTCATTTCATTTGTGTTTTTATTCACCCTGAAAGTGCTTGTCCCAAATATTTCAACTCAGAAATAGTCAAAGATGTTTCACTACTCTGTGACTGCATTAGGAATTCTGTGTCCTGTGGGCATGAAATACATGTTCTTGTGTGTATTTTTGTTCCATCACTAATGCTGGGTGATGGAATCAACTCTGCTAGAAGAGTCCAAAGATAGTGCTACTTACTTATTAAGAACTAATTATAACTGGGCACAGCAGCACATGTCTGTAATCCTAGGAGTTCAGGAGGCCAAGGCAGGAGGATCTCAAGTTCAGAGCCAGCCTCAGCAAAAGTAAGGTATTAAGCAACTCAGTCAGACCCTTCTCTAAATAAAATACAAACTAGGGCTGGGAATGTGGCTCAGTGGTGAAGTGTCCCTAAGTTCAATCCCCAGAACCCCGCCAAAAAAACTAATTATATAGTGTTTTTGTAACTAACATAAATAAAACACCAATGAAAGATAAAACAGAATCTGAACCTGTAAGCATTTACAAGACCTATTAGTCCTTCCATTTTAGAGTTTTAAATTGCTATTAGAAAAAATTTTCAAATATAACAAATGTAGAGAGAATAGTATAATGCATTCTTATATATGTTTCCCAGATTCTACAATTATCAGTATTTTTTTGTTAAATTTCTCTCTTTTCTCCCCTCCCTTCTTCCATCTTTTTCTTTTTTATGTGAGGGTAAATGGCAGTACTGAGGATCAAACCCAGGGCCTCATGCATGCTCAGCAGGCAATCTACCACTAAGCTATATCACCAGTCTTCTCTTTTTTCTGTGCTGTAACATTTTAAAGCAAACCTTTGACTCTGCTTCTACACTTCATCTCAAAGTATTTTATTCCAATTTGTGTTTTTTTTCTGTCATACACAATTTGAGTTTCGGAAAAAAAAATGTTTTTTCTTTTATACAATAAGTTGTAGCATTTGATTTACATAGTACACATTGAACTTATTTTATGTAATTCAAATCTACTTTTTTTCCTGAGAGGCACAAAATTTTCTACTCTATCCTATCTTTTCATACATATATACAGAGCACAATCTTTCATATCTCTAGTTGTGCACAAAACAGAGTCACCCCATTCGTGTCTTCATACATATAAAAGAGCAGTTTATACTACCTCTTGCTATAATCAATAAAAGCTGCCTGCAAAAAGAAGCTACTGAGCTGGGCATGAAAGTAGACACCTGCAATCCCAGCAGCTCCGTAGGCTGAGGCAGGAGGATCATGAGTTCAAAGTGATCAGCCTCAGCAAAAGAGAGGTGCTAAGCAACTCAGTGAGACCCTATCTCTGAATAAAATACAAAATAGGGCTGGGAATGTGGGTCAGTGGTTGAGTGTCCCCGAGTTCAATCCCACTACCCTCACACACCCCAAAAAGAGGCTACTGCTCATTAACAGCCATTCTCTCAGCTGCATTGATTGTTAATATTTCAATTTTGGAAGACATCTCTGGGTCTCTGTAACTTTGTTTTTTTTCCCACTTGAAAGAAACTTTGGGAAATTTCCTTAACCAATTATGGATATGTCATGAACAGATTCGCATCCTTGTGGATAAGTACAACTGCAGACATAGTAGATGTTCTTTTATCAGTCAAGCAAATAGGGAACTATAAAAATACTATATACATACCTTAAATATTTTATTGTAACTTCAAACTTCAAACAAAGGCTTTAACTTTTTAAGTATGAGTTCTCCTACCCAGAAACTTTTCTCAAAAAACAAGTCCTATTGTATAAAGGCTACTGTTCATCTATAATCTCTCAATTCAGACTCTTTAAAGAAACCTAGGTGCAGAATTCTTCTAGATTTTTCTACTAGAATTGTTTTCCCATCTAGAAAGAACAAATAAAAAATGCCAAAAAATTGTTCTCACAATGTTTTATAGTGATCTTTCTTGCATTTAATTCAGCTATAATTTTAGTTGTAGCCATTCAACTTCATTGAATATTCCTAAAACATTCAACTTAGTTTTCATAAAATTAAAATTTTTGTTCACTTTGACATTTTATAGATTTACACATTATTTGATTATTCAATATAATTATTATTTTTTGTCCTAATTTTTTAAATATATTTTTTAGATGTTGATGGACTTTTATTTTATTCATTTACTTATATGTGGTACCGAGAATTAAATCCAGTGTCTCACATGGTTGTGGCTCAGTGGTAGAGCACTTGCCTAGCATGTGTGAGGCACTGGGTTCAATTCTCAGCACCACATATAAATAAATGAATAAAATAAAAGTCCATATAATTATAACAAGTAGGTTAAATTGATCTTAATATGATAGCTTCTCCACAACCCCAGCCCCAGGACTCCATTTCTTGAAAAGTGCTCTTGTGCCACATAAAACTTATATTAAATAAACTTATATGTTTTTCAAATAACCCAATCAATAAATGGGCTAAGGAACTGAACAGACACTTTACAGAAGAAGAAATACAACTGATCAACAAACATATGAAAAAATGCTTATCATCTCTAGCAATTAGAGTAATACAAATCAAAACTACTCTAAACTTTGATCTCACTCCAGTCAGAATGGCAATTATCAATAATACAAGCAATAAGAAGTACTGGCAAAAATGTGGGGAAAAAGGTATACTCATGCACTGTTGATGGGATTGCAAATTGGTGCAACCACTGTGGAAAGCAGTGTGGAGATTCCTCAGAAAATTTGGAATGGAACCAACATTTGACCTAGCTATCTCACTCCTTGGTTTATACTCAAAGGACTTAAAATTAGCATACTACAGTGACTTAGCCATATTAATGTTTATAGCAGCTCAATTCACAATGGCTAAAATATGGAACCAACCTAGATGTCCTTCAACAGATGAATGGATAAAGAAAATGTGGTACATATGCACAATGAAATATTACTCAGTCTTCTTTAAGGGTTAGGCTTAGAATGAAATTATGGCATTTGCAGGTAAATGGATGGTGTTAGAGAATATCATGCTAAGTGAAATAAGCCAATTCCCAAACACCAAAAGCTGATATTCTCTCTAATAAGTGGATGCTGATCTAGACAGGGGAAGGGGGATAGGGAAGAATGAAGGAATTTTGGTTTGTCTAGAGGGGAGTGAGGAGAGGGTTGGGATTGTGGGGATGGGAAGGACGATAAAAAGAGAGAGACATTATTACTCTATATACATGTATGATTACATCATTGGAGTAATTCTAAACCATGTACAGCTAGAGGAATGAGAAGTTGTATTCCATTTGTGTACTATATGTCAAAATGTAAAATAAATAAATAAAATAATTTAAAAAAATTTTTGTATGTTTTTCTCCTGTCGATCTGTCATATGTCAATTTGATTCTTAGGGCCCAATGAGAAGTCCTAAAGGGGCAAAGGTAAAATTTTGCCTCCTTTATACCACCTTTCATGACTTTTTATAAAAATCCTTAAACTCCTTTTCCAAGCTGTGTCTGTCATCCTTCCCCATGAAGTAGAACTTACACTCCAAATTCCTGACTCTATAAAGCAGAAAACTAAAGTTGTTGAGAGCCACAGTTGAAGGGGCCCCAGAAAATTTCTAGCTGCCAGCAAACTTCCAGCTGCCAGCTGATGATTGGCTCACAGCCCCAGCAAACTTCTAGCTGCCAACTGATTGGCTCCTCTGTGGTGATGCTCATTGGGTTGTTTCCCCGCCCTTTCAGACCACGGAGCTGCTCATTGGGGGACTTTTTTGGCTCTGCCCATGCAACCCAGCCAATCGGCCTCAAGAGCAGGAGGAGTGGGGGAGGTTGAGAGGCTTGTGGGAAGCCGGTGGTGGCAGTTGGGCTCTGAAGGTTTTCCTGAAGAGCTGTGTGGTTTGGTGTGTGTGTTCTAAAAATAAAGTTCGTTTCTTTTGACAAGTGGCTCCTGAATTGTGCCCAGCCAGACTGTGGCAAAAGTGATTATCCACATACCAACAATGGGTAGGGGTGTGTGTGTATGTGTGAGTGTGTGTGTGTCCCTTAGTTATTTACACCACTTAATCTAACTGAATTAATTTCTTATTTAAGTTCTTCAGACTAAAACAGTACTTTGAGAATTTGACTGCCTCAGTGATACAACAAATGAAGGTATACCTTGCAGCATTCTGTAAAACACATTGAAATGCTAGAGAAGTTTAAATATTCACCTGTATTATTTAAATAAAAAGTTGTTCATTGCTTACCTATAAAGTTAAGGAAAGATAAGTTTAGTATTATAAACTGAGGGTATAATATTGAAGGATACTATAACAGCCAATATTATTGAGTCAATGTCATTTCTTGCCAGGTACTCTGCATATTTCATTTTAATCTTTACAACATAACTATGAAGTTTGTACTGTCATAATATGTGCATTTTACATATCATAAAACTAAGGCATAGAGAGTTTAAATAATTTACTCAATACCACATAATCATTAAATGACACAGTTTGAGGGCTGGGGCTGTGGCTCAGCCATAGCACACTGGCCTGGCATGTGTGAGGCACTGGGTTTGATTGTCAACACCACATATAAACGAATAAATAAATAAATAAATAAATATCTATAAACAAGTTAAAAAAAACATTTTAAAAAAATGACACAGTTTGAATTCAACCCCAGATATTTTATTTTAAAATCTGTTTTTAACCATTATGTTATAATAGCTGAAATTCTTCAACTGTCTTTTATTTTTCAGTCCTTCAAAAAAACAAAAAACAACTGACAAGGATAGACTTTTATATATTTATATATATCAACATATTTTGCAAGTTTATTCAGTCAGGGATATATTAGATATAGTTGGACACAATACCTTCATTTTATTTATTTATTTTTATGTGGTGCTGAGGATCAAACCCAACACCTCACACGTACTAGGCAAGAGTGATCTACCGCTAAGCCACAAATCCAGCCTCAAGGATAAACTTTGATTAAAATAAAATCTATAAAAGAAGATTAAGAAATTTCTCAGTGAATTCTAGCGTTTGGACCCAGTTGGAATTATATTCCAGAAAATTTTAAATCCCTGACTGAACAAACATGCAAGAGATGTTGATCAAATTCCCCTGGTAGAGAACATGAGGGGTGCTTTTAACCTAGCACTGATCTATCTGACTTACTACTTTGAAAAATCAAGAGATGGTAGATTCTCCAAACTGTAAGACAGTAATTTCGATGTTAATTCAGGGAGAAATTTTAACACAGATATACTTAAAAGGATTGGTTGTGTTCACCTTGATGAAGAGGCCATGATCATTCAAGCCCAATATGAATTTTCAAAGTTACAATAGATTTATTTCATTTATTTTTGGTAACCTTCATGGTATTCTCTATTACTCTGTTCTCTGTATACCAAACTCTCATGATAATCTTTTTATAACATCTCTGCTCACATATAATTTTATTGGTGACACTCTCTTTGACCATCTATATATCAATAAGCAACCTCTCCCTGACTTCATATTCTCCTTTTTCTTTTTCAGTTGCATTCATCACTATCCAATAATGCACACACGTTTTTTTTTTTTCTTGTTAAACAATACACTATGGTTTCCCCAGGGGACAGCAAATGTATTTGCTTTGTACATTGTCACATCTCCTGTAATTGGACAGTATCTGTTTAGTGTATGAATGACTGAACATGTTTGCCCTTTAAATTTATCATGATATCTAGTCCTTGAACTACTCCTTTGTTTTTTTTTACTTTCATTTCCTTGTCTATCTAGATGCAATTCAATATAGTGGTTAAACATTGCCAATAACATTACAACTTTGAGACTTCTGGGTCCTTTTGCTGTACTCACTCTGTAAAAGCCTAGTACTGATTTTAGAAAAGGAGACTCAGAGACACAAATAAAGGGGTGGGGCAAAATCACTGATATAATATATATTTAATAGCACCATAAGAGTAACTTTATGCCCATCATTTTTAAACTTTAAATGAAAAAAATACTATTTAAAACATTGGTTCAACAAGAGAAAGCTTAAACACTGCAATAAAATTGCATTAAAAATTACATTTAGTCCAAGTCTTTCTCATCACCTCCCTCCAAAGGACAAGGTAAAATTCTTTTAAAGTCTATAAGAAAGCAATGATTCCTATATTTTATGAATTCTTGTAAATAATGATAAAAATTCCTAACGCAATACATTATTATAACTGATTTCCAAACTTCACAATTACAGAAGATTACTTTAGTCCAGTCTCACTTATGAATGTAGATATTTTTAAAAACTCAATTGAAATATTTTCGCAGTTAATTCAGTAATGTAGAAAATACAAAGTGCCTTTTATCTCAAGGATGCAAGTATCATATCAGAAATCCATACTTATTTAATATATTCACAGATTAAAGGAGACATACCTTACACTTATCTTGGTAAGTTCAGGAAAACATGTTCACTAAAACTTATCATACATTCATGACTTTAAAAATTAAGAAAAACTGAAATTTCCTTAACTTGACAAAAAAAATCTACAAAAATACCCACTAAATACATCATGTTAATGATGCAATGTCTTAGTATTCTCTTTGAGGGCAAAAACTAAAAAAAAAAAAAATTCCTACCATTCACTGCCTCCATCTAATAATGTGCTTCAGGATATAGCTAGTATAGTAAGAAAAGAAAACGAAATGAAACATACAAGGATTAAAATAGAAGTAACAAACTTTCATATTTGTAGACTGGAAAAATCCAACCAAATTTACAGGCAAACCTCTAAATGTAAATAAAGAATTTAGGAAAAATGCTAGATATGAAGTCAACATTAAAAAATCAATAGCTAAATCAAGGATGTAGACTGAAATCTTCAGAATAGTTACTAAAAGAAAAACTGGGATGGGGGTGTATCTCATTGGTAGAGTGCATGCCTAGCATGCATAGGCCCTGGGTTCTATCCCTGGCACTGAAAAAAAAAAACAAGTTAAATACCATTTATATTTTGACAGATATAAATTGGCAATTTAAAAATGAAAAACCCAGGGCTGAGGTTGTGACTCAGTGGTAGAGCGCTTACCCAGCACGTGTGAGGCATTGGGTTCCATCCTCAGCACCACATAAAAATAAATAAAATAAAGGTATTGTATCCAACTATAACTAAAAAATGAATATTAAAAAAATGAAAAACCCAAATAATCAATACTCAAAGGCAAATATCCTTGACCTTCTTTAGCTTTTTTTACCTTGCTTTATTCCTTTCTTTACTCTTTCCGGCCCCTTCCTTACTTCCTTTCCTTTTTTAGTCTTAAAGCTAATATTTTAAAATGTTAAAACTACTATACTGATTAATAGCAATGTTTATCTTGTTCTTGTACCTCTATTTATCTTTTCAATGTCTTTACAAAAAAGGAAATAAAAGAAAAGCATTATTACCTTTGCCTCCCTTACAGTGAATCACTAGGATATTTTTATCATCTTGAGCCATCCACGCATTTGCTTCCTTGGAGAACACCACCATCTCTCTGATTTTAAATGTAAGATTTTCAGTTGAATTAAAATATTTTTTTTAAAAAAATCAAGCCCGATGTATTAACTCTTTTTTTAATAGTCAATGTGGAATAAAACTTACTTCAAAGTAGGGACATTATGATCATCAATCATGATTCTATGGATCCTATTATGGAAGTACTTAGGATCATAACTTCTTTCACCTAAAATAAAAAAAATACATATGTCATATCTCTTTTCCTAATAACATAGTAAATGATGAAGTTATGAATAGTTTGAATTTTCCTTTAGAAATTCTCTATCTTCAGAAGAAGCTTTTTGAGTAGCTCTTACTGCTCTAAAATGATTGTAGAGAATCTCAAAAACATAAAGACAGAAGTGGTTTGTCCATAGCAGGTATTCTACATTTGAATTAGTTTTGTTTAATAGATTCCCTTTTAGCTTTCTAGAAGGCTACTCATTATATAACTGTAGGATAATTAGAAACCAAGGAGTAGAGGAAAATGTAGCTAACCAAAATGGTTGCCATTGAAGATGTTTATTTTATAATATACAAGTGGAAGAAAATAACATGAGAGACAGAGTGGTAAACTAGAGTATAATCTGTTTTCTAAAGGGTCGTTTTATTTATTTATTTATTTATTTATCTATCTATCCCATTAGTTTCTATGTTTTCATCAAAACCCACTCCTGAGGGTTAGAGAACATGTTTGTCTAATTGTCTAGTGTCTTCAACACAATTTGTAAGGGAAAACAGATTTTCCTAAACCTGAACACTCGAGCAGACCTTCCCTAAAATTGTTTGCCTCCATTCCACCTCTTCGGTCCCACAAGGCCTGCTTCCCTCAGAGCAAACTATGCTGTTGAACTAACTTTTCCTACAAACAGGGCAGCACAAGATGAAGATTTTTTATTTTATCAAATTCTCCACCATTAAATACTTATGATTAAATATAATGTAAAAGTGGAATCTTCTTCTTATATGCAGTAATCTGTTTTCTATCTATATTAACAAAGTATTGAGTCATATACATACTGCATAGATTATACACTTGATAGTGGTTTTCATGCTTCAAGTCTAAGAATCGTGAAACTTCCTAAAAAAGACAGACACAAATTTTATATATCCATGAGTAACCTAAAATGATTATTAATTTTTATTCACCTGTCACTGGTAGCTTCAGGGAAATTCAAGACATATGAGGGTATGTGCATTCTAAATCATATGTAACCAGTTGATTATTTTCAAATTGCCCACAGAGCCAGCTTGGCTACTTAAATTAACCTGTACTACACATAGACATTGTTTAAGCTACCAGAGAAGGAAACTGGCTGGTTAATTAGCTTAGGTAAATTTCTTTCAAATCATTAATTCATGGCAAGTAATAAATGGTTGCTATTCAAATCTAATTCTGAATAGATATCTCCTATATAATTACCTAGATATTACAGTCTAAGCACTATGTAAATAAATAAGCATAAATATAATATAGTTGTGTGTGGTATAAATGATAGAAAATGATAAATTATATCAAATTTTAGATAAGTGATAGAAACATGGAGAATTTTTAGCTTATCTGATTTTTATGTTATAGGGCTGGGGTTGTGGCTCGGCGGCACATCGCTCGCCTCACTTGTGTGGGACCCTGGGTTCCATCCTCAGCACTACATAAAAATAAATAAATAAAATAAAGGTGTGTGTCCAACTACAACTAAAAAATAAATATTTAAAAATATGAATATGTATATATGTGTGCATATGTGTATGTACATAAATGCATAACGTTTAAAACAAGAAACAAATAGTAGTTATTATTGAAAATAGAGTTAAGACCAC